TGGCCCTGCCACCGTGGCTCAGTGGTTTGAGCATCAACCTATGACCCAGGAGGTCATGGTTTGATTCCCATCAGGGCACATGCCCATATTGTGGGCTTCATCCCCAGTGCAGGGCATACAGGAGGCAGCCGATCCATGATCCTCATCATTGATGTTTCTCTCTCTCCCTCTCTTCCTCTCTGAAATCAATAAAAATATATTTTTAAAAAAGATGAAGGGGCATGGCTAGGAGGGGAGGAACTGGCTCCTGTCTGCCCGCCGGAGTGGAGACTGAGGGGACCAGCCAGTCCTTCGGGCAGTTTCAGTGAGGCCGTGCGGTGGGACAACTAGGAATTAATCCTACGGCTGCTTATGGCGAGAGCAGTGGGAGCACATCTGGGGAGGCGCAGCTGGAGCACCAGCTGTGGGATGGCCTGGGCCTGCCCGTGGGGTGGCAGCCAGTGGGCGGCCGGGGTGGCTCTGGCTGCCTTGTCTGGAGTGGCCAGCGGGCAGGCGAGGAGGCATCTAAGGTGTCCCAGGGGTGGGGAACGCCCGGCCCGCGGGCCACAGAAGGCCGTGAAGTCATTTGATCTGGCCCTGCCAAGGCCCGAGGGGTGAGTTAATGAAATGTTTGACCAAATAGCGCAGGCTACTTTTTTTTTTTTTTTAAATGTATTTCTTTATTGGTTTCAGAGAGGAAGGGAGGAGAGGGAGATAGAAACATCAATGATGAGAGAAAATCATTGATCGGCTGCCTCCTGCACGCCCCCTACTGGGGATTGAGCCCGCAACCCAGGCATGTGCCCTTGGCCGGAATCGAACCTGGGATCCTTCAGTCTGCAGGCTGACACTCTATCCTCTGAGCCAAGCCGGCTCGGGCAAGCAGGCTACTTTTTGATAATTTTATGGCCTGTGAATGACATTATACACATCCTAATGGCCCTTGGCAGAAAAAAGGGTCCCACCCCTGACCAGACAAAGAGGGGCCCACATGGGTGAGGGGGGCTGCACCTGCAGAGCCCTGGGGAGGGGGAGGGGGGATGTCTGCGGGCCCTTGGGGGAAGTGGCCGTTGGGACAGGGAGTCCTGGGTCACAGGGCCGTAACGTAGGCCATACCGGTCTCCCCCCGCCCACTGTCGCAGGCGCTGATGGTCTTTGAGGATGTGGCCGTGTACTTCTCCCGGGAAGAGTGGGGGCTCTTGGACTCGGCGCAGAGGGCCTTGTACCGCCAGGTGATGCTGGAGAACTTCGCCCACGTGGCCTCGCTGGGTAAGGCCCTGGGTCCCCCTGGGAAAGCTCGTCGTTGCCAGGCTGGTCTGCCAGCACGAACCCCCTCTCCTCCCAGGGGCCTCGGAGCAGCCCCACTCCCCTGGCCGTGGCACCTCAGGGCCTGGGCTCCGCGCCCTTCCTCTGGCCCTGCCGACGCGGTCCTCCCCACGGGCACAGGAAGCTGTCCCTGGGAGCCCTGACGTGGACAGTCCTGTGGGGCCGCTGGCTGGCATGAGCTGGAGCCGGCCCCTCACTCGCTCGCCTGCCCCTCGCAGGACTCTCTGCCTCCCGACCTCGGATAGTCCTCCAGCTCGAGCGGGGTGAGGAGCCCTGGGTTCTCAGGGGGCTGGATGTGGCCCTGGCCAGGGACGCCCAGAGGAGGCCCAGCCCTGGTGAGTGGGGCCCCCAGGGGCCGGCCGGGGGGGGGGTCCCTCTTCCCCACACTCTGCTGCCTCCCCCCTCACTCCCTCCTGTTCTCCTTCCACCAGGAGCCTCTCCTGGAGGCTCCAGCCTTGGCTGCCCTCAAAGGGGGAGCTCCGAGGGCACCCAGGCCGCGGTGAGAGCTCAGAATCCCACCCCAGCCAGCGTGTTGGCCTCACACCTTCCCTGTCTCCCCTCGTGGCCTCCTCTGCGGCCGGCCCTTCACTTTCCCTCCCGCGCTCCTTGTTTCTCGAGCACTTGCAGTGGCCAGGCCGCTTCTCGGGGCCACCAGGGACCCTGCCTTGGCCGGGACATTCCTGGTGCTGCCGGCCTGGCGTTGGCTGTGCTGGAGGAGGGGAGGCAGCAAACAGGGTCCTTGATCAAACTCTCGGCTCAGGCAGCCACCAGTCGGGGGCGCTGCCGACAGGATGGCTGAGTTCTCTGCAGCTTCCAGCCCCAGACCTGGGGCGCCCCTTGCCCACCTGTCCGCCAGCCCGGGTCCCCTCCTCCTGGTCAGGTGACCCAGGCACCCACTGCTTCTGGTCCCTCAGGTTCGCAGCGCCTGGCAGAGGACAGAGCTGGTTCTGGGGAAGCAGCGTGGCCCTTCCCGGAAAGGCGCCCCCTGACACCTCCCGGGGTCCCCCGCACCCCTGCCGCCTGTGAGCCCGGAGATCGCCTGGAGGGGCGTCGGGGCAGCTCCTCGTCTGGGGAGAGAAAGCCCACGGGGGTCTCCGTGATCTACTGGGAGCGGCTCCTGCTGGGCCCGGGCAGCGGGGAGGCGGGTGTGAGCCTGCGGCTGACGCCCCAGCTGCGGGCGCCCGCGGGCAGCGCACCTACAGGGGCTGCTCTCACCGACCTGGCCCAGCCGGGCGCACAGCCGCAGGAGCCCCCTGGGAGGACCTTCCAGAGCGTCCCCGGCCTCGGGGCCGGCCACCCCGCGGGGCAGCTAGGCCTGGGGGCAGCTTGGCACGAGCCTCGGACGCTCCTCGCCGCCGCCGCCGCCGCCGCCGGCCGGGAGCCCCCGCCCTGGGCGGAGCTGGGCGAGGCCCTGCACGCGGCGGGCCCCGGCCTCCTGCCCGGAGAGAAGACCTTCGAGTGCCGGGCCTGCAGCAAAGTCTTCGTCAAGAGCTCGGACCTGCTCAAGCACCTGCGCACGCACACGGGCGAGCGGCCCTACGAGTGCGCGCAGTGCGGCAAGGCCTTCAGCCAGACCTCGCACCTGACGCAGCACCAGCGCATCCACAGCGGCGAGACGCCCTACGCCTGCCCGGCCTGCGGCAAGGCCTTCCGCCACAGCTCCTCGCTCGTGCGGCACCAGCGCATCCACACGGCCGAGAAGGCCTTCCGCTGCGGCGAGTGCGGCAAGGCCTTCAGCCACGGCTCCAACCTCAGCCAGCACCGCAAGATCCACGCGGGCGGCCGGCCCTACGCCTGTGCGCGCTGCGGCCGGCGCTTCTGCCGCAACTCGCACCTCATCCAGCACGAGCGCACGCACACGGGCGAGAAGCCGTACGCCTGCGCGCTGTGTGGGGCCGCCTTCAGCCAGGGCTCCTCGCTCTTCAAGCACCAGCGCGTGCACACGGGCGAGAAGCCCTTCAGCTGCGCGCAGTGCGGCCGCGCCTTCAGCCACAGCTCCAACCTCACGCAGCACCAGCTGCTGCACACGGGCGAGCGGCCCTTCCGCTGCGCCGACTGCGGCAAGGCCTTCGCCAAGGGCGCCGTGCTGCTCAGCCACCGGCGCATCCACACGGGCGAGAAGCCCTTCGTGTGCGCGCAGTGCGGCCGCGCCTTCCGCGAGCGCCCGGCTCTGTTCCACCACCAGCGGATCCACACCGGGGAGAAGCCCGCGCGGCGGCGCCGTGGGGCTCCCGGGGACCGGCCCGCCCTCGCCGCAGGCCCGGCAACCGGGCCGGCGTCCAAGCAGGCAGAGGCCTGAGGCCCAGCTCCGCCCGTGCAGCCCCTCCCACGGCCAACGGGGGTCCCCCTGGGGAAGCCTGTGCGTGCGCTCGGGTTCCAGCCTCAGTGGTGACGGGATTGGCACTGCGCCGCCTCCATCCCAGAGACCGCTCTGCAGAACGGAGAGGAGGCGGGCACTTCGGTGGGGCCGGGGCATGGCGGTCAGAACCGGGGGCAGGCCGCATGGTGGCGCCCCTTGTCCCGGGTTATGCCTGGACCCAGGGGAGTGGGAGTGCTGCGATGGGGGTGGAGGCAGTGCATCCCTGGCTGCCAAGGGGACCCACCCCCACCCCCCATGGTCCACAGACAGGCTGAAGCTCTACCTGTGGCCTCTCACAGGGACCTAGGTTGAAACCAAGTCCCTGCAGCTCTGGGGGGGGGAGGGGGGGGCGACACGCCCTGGTGCCGGTCTGCGGGCTGTTACCACCCACGTGGTCTGTCGGGAGCCGCTCCGGACCGGGTGGGAGGGCGGCTGAAGCTGTGCCAGATTGACCATCTGTGTCTGTTCCGAGTACAACTGCTACCCTTTTCCCTCAGTAAAAAGACAATTAACTTTCCTGGGAGTGAGGCTGAAGGTCGACACGGGCCCTGGTGTGCTAAGGGCCCACCCCCCCTGCCTGCCTCAGTGTCCCCACCGCGTGGGGGTGTCACACTGAGGGGGGGGACCTCAGGAGGGCGCCACACACGGGCAGAGACCCATCCTGTCTCCTCCTGTCAGGGCAGTGAGGACGTAAAGGCTCCTGGAAGCTGGACTTTGGTAACAGGCCAGGCCAGTGCTGAGGCCGGGATGCGAACCTGCAGCAGGGCAGACGGGAGGAGCATGGCTGGGAGCCATCGCTCTGTCTCCCCTCAGACTTCCACCTCCTGTGGGCTGGCCCCCCGCCCCCCCCCCCCCCTCACAGCCAGCAGACCAGAGCGTGGGGGTGGAAGTGAGCTGTCTGGATGCTGGGCCCGGCTGAGCACCCCCTCTCTGTGCCCCCAACTCGCACCCCCTCTCTGTGCCCCCAACTCGCACCCCCTCTCTGTGCCCCCAACTCGCACCCCCTCTCTGTGCCCCCAACTCGCACCCCCTCTCTGTGCCCCCAACTCGCACCCCCTCTCTGTGCCCCCAACTCGCACCCCCTCTCTGTGCCCCCAACTCGCACCCCCTCTCTGTGCCCCCAACTCGCACCCCCTCTCTGTGCCCCCAACTCGCACCCCCCCCCCTCTCTGTGCCCCAACTCGCACCCCTCTCTGTGCCCCCAACTCGCACCCCTCTCTGTGCCCCCAACTCGCACCCCCTCTCTGTGCCCCCAACTCGCACCCCCTCTCTGTGCCCCCAACTCGCACCCCCTCTCTGTGCCCCCAACTCGCACCCCCTCTCTGTGCCCCCAACTCGCACCCCCTCTCTGTGCCGTAGTTTCCCCAGGTCATGAGGTGCCCCCTCCTGCCAGGCTGCCTACCTTGCTCTTAACCCCAAACAGCCGGTGACGGTAAAAGTGTCCCTGGTCTTTCTGGGTCAAGGTGGTGAACTGAACCCAACTCAGAAGCCTACAGAGACCACACAGGAGAGTGTTTAAGACAAACCCTGAGGATGAGGATGGAGAAGGAGCCCATAGCAAGGGCATTCTGCACCTAAGTGGGAACGGTGAGAGTCGTTTCTGGGGGATCCCCACTCCCTAAGCCCCCACACAACAGCCCCATCTAATGATGCTGCTGGGAAGAGCTGACAAGCCCAGCCATGCACCGCTCAGAGCTCCCCTCCAGTCGGTGATGAAGAAAGACCACAGCTCTTTATCTCGAGCTGGCAGCCAGGGGTTCCTCGGCCTCAGAAGAAACCAGACAAACAGGTAGATGCATTTTGGGATTGAATAGGTTATGTTCCAGCCACTTGATGTGTGGAAGCAAAATTGGCCTCAACCCGGTCAGATTTTAAAAACGAGTACATTGCCTACTGAGATAAACTAAAAATAAAGGTCAGCTTACTAGTTCTGGCCCCCAAAGTAAGTGAGAGGCTGAGCACGTCCCATAAGCCTGGACAACCCCCCCATCCTTCACCTTGCAGTACAGTTCTTCTATCTGAAGGTGTGTCAGACTCGGGATGTAAATCATGGGGCAGTTTCCTCCTCGGTAAACGTGCCCACCAGGGGAGGGCGCCCCGCGGAGGTCGAGGGAGGGACCAGCACCCTCCTCGCTGGAGAAAGCCACGGGTCAGGAGGGCCGTCCTAGCCGGACCCCGCTTCCTTGTGCGACCACCCGGAGACGAGTCTCTGCCAAGCTATTACACAACCCGGGCCTCCGCGCAGGGCGGGACGACGCTCCCGCTGTTGCCTTAGAAACTGCTTCTGGCGCGCGGACGCTGGAACGCCGTTACCAAGGCGACGACTCGGCGACCAAAAAAACGAGCTTCTTGCAGCGCGCTGGGGGTGGGGCCTGCGCAGTGTGCCAACTCTGATTGGTCGAAAAGGCAGGTCTCTCACCTCGCTTAACCAATAGGACCCCGGTCCGCTTTGCACATGCGCAGGATTTTAACGGCCCGAGCAGTTGGTGAGTCCTAAGACCCGGATGCAAAAAGGACGGCCGCCAGTGAGGGAGAGGAGTCCCGCGAACTGAGCTGCTCTGCAGACTCCTCTCCCCGAGGACGGGAGCAGTTCTCAGCGTGAGAGGCCTCTGACAATGAGCCTCCGCCGGCGGACGCCGCGCCTGTCCTTGCTTACGGAGGCTCATGGGAAATGTAGTCCATAGGGAGGGTGGTGCCTAGGGAGCAGGGGCCTGATTGGCCACAGCGACGTCACCAGGGCAACGAACGGAGGGGCGGGGCGGGGCGTCGCGGTGCCGTTGACCCGGAAGCGGCCTCCGGCGCCGGCGCGGTGGCGGCGGTGAGCGCGGTGGGGCTGGGCAGCGCGCGGTTTCCCCACCTCCCGGAACCCGGCCCCTCCTCCCTGCGCTCGGGGGCCGCCGACGACCTCCCCCGCCTCCCCCGCCTCCTCCGGGAAGGCCTCCTCCCTCCTCCCATTTGCGGGAGACGAGCCCCGGAGGCTGGTCCCGGGTCGGGCAGCCCCCCAGGTGGGCGAGTTTCTCAGTGTCCGGCTCGCGGCTCCGCGCTGCCCGGGGCTCCGTTCCCACGCTCCGTCCAGGCTGCGCGCGGCACGCTCAGCGCGCTGTGGTCGGCGAGCACGGAGCCCCCAAGTCCAGCCTCGACCCCGGGCGCCGCCGGGGCCCCCCATAGCCCACCCCGCAGGACGCCCACCTCCGCCCACGGGCCCTTCCCCTCCGACCCCACCCCACCCGGTCCCGCTTCTCGCGGCTGCACCGCCTGACCCGGGACCGACCTCTCCCCCGCTCCCTGTCCCCAAAGGCTGGCTGTTTCCTGGACGCTGGACTGGGCAACCTGCTCCAAGCTCGTGGCCCGAGGTCGGCGCCCTGACCCTCCGTCTCTGCAGGTCCCGCTCGGCGGCTCCAGGAAGGCCCCCGGCGCGACCATGCCGTCCCCGCTGGGCGCCCCGCGCCCGCCCTCCGTGCGCCCCGCGCCCGCCCCGGAGGACCCCGAGGCCGCGCGCCTGCGCTTCCGGGGGTTCCGCTACCGAGAGGTGGCGGGTCCCCGGGAGGCCCTGGCCCAGCTCCGCGGGCTGTGCCGCCAGTGGCTGCGGCCCGAGGCGCACTCCAAGGAGCAGATGCTGGAGCTGCTGGTGCTGGAGCAGTTCCTGGGCGCGCTGCCCCCCGAGATCCAGGCCTGGGTGCAGGGCCAGGGGCCGGGCAGCCCCGAGGAGGCCGCAGCCCTGGTGGAGGGGCTCCAGCGGGACCCCGGGCAGCTGCTGGGCTGGGTGAGTGCGGCCGGCCGTCCTCGTGGAGGGACAGACGGACAGAGGGAGACGGGAGCCCCCGGTGACAGGCCTCCCCCCCTCAGATCACAGCCCAGGTCCTGAAGCAGCCGGTGCCCCCGGCGGCACAGAAGGCAGAGGACTCCCTGGCCAGTCTCCACTCCCCAGAGAGAGGGCAGCCCCTCGGGGCAGCCGCTGGGGAGGGGCCGGAGGGTGCCCAGCTCGGAGGCTGCCCTGTGAAGAGGGAGCCTGAGGCTGAGGCGCAGGAGATGGGTGAGCGTGGGGGCTCCTGGCGGGAGTGTGGGCAGCCATCGCCGGGTGGGGACCCCGAGGGGCTGCAGAGCCGGCCCGAGAGGCGCGAGGATGGCTGTGAGCCCTGTGCCTGCTGGCGGAGGAGGGCGGCAGCTGCAGCTCGGGGCCGCCCTGACCCCCATCGGCCTCACTTCCTAGCCTCCGCCAGCCCCCCAAATCCGGTCCAGTCCCAAGAGGGGCTAGTTGGACCTGGGGAACCGGACGCGGCCTCCTTCCACCCGCCCAGGATGCAGGTGAGCGGCCCCAGGTTTTCCAGGCTCCTTGGCCAGCCATGGTGGGCTCTCTGCTGCCCAGATTGGACTCGGGGTCAGATCTCCCTGCAGGACAGCGGGATAGAGGGACAGACGGGTGGTCTCTGCAGTTGGGGGGGTTTAGAAACGGGGCTCGGAGTGAGGGGAAGCGTTGGGGGCTGGCCTCCTCACCGAGCAGTCAGTGGGGGGTTGCGCCCCCGGGGATTTGCACCCTGGTGTGCAGGGGGGAGGGACACGATGACCAGCGTGGAGAGAAGCCTGAGCACCTCGCAGCAGCCCTGCCTCCCAGCCCCTCGGAGGCCAGTGAGAGGTTCCCCCTGGGAACTGCCCGCAGCCCCTCCCTCCGCCGGGTGTGGGGGCTCCGCGGGCCCTGCTGCCTGGAGTGTTTGCTCTGAGTGTGGACAGCAGGCCCTGTCCGCTCCCCCCCCCCCCAACTTGCTCCTCAGCCGCTCCCCTCCACGTGCCAGTGGAAGGACCAGCTCAGATGAGCTTGGAAGCTCCCTCCGCACCTGATGGCGCCCTAGGAAAGCAAGGGGGTGGCAGAGGCAGAGTTCAAGTCCTCACCTCCAGCCAGCACCGTCCTGGCTGTGGCTCCCTGTGGCTGCGGCCTGCCCTGTCACCACTGATTTTCCCAGCCCAGCAAAGCCCCTCCCAGTGATGGGACTCTGGGAGCTGATGAGGGGACACCCCATGGGCTAGGAGGGGGGACCCCAAGGGCCAGGAGTGCGTCTGGGGGTGGGGGGAGCCCCAAAGCGCTCCCCTGTGCACACAGAGGACACAGCCCATTGCCCCGCCCATGCACAGCACCTGCACCTGCATCACTGCCCCCCGGGGTGCGGCTGCACCTTCTGTCTGAGCCCCCCTCAGCCAGGCACCCACATCTGGTTGCCGTGACCCTGCACAGCTGTCCCAAGGAGGGTCTCCAGGGGGAGAGAAGAGGTGTCTGGAGGCCCCGGAGGCCCCTGGTCTTCTGCCCTGGACACACTGCTCAAGCCACAGGGCGGGGCGGGCTGGCCTGTCCCTGCCTTCCCACAGCCCAGGGGTCCTGAGCTCGGTCTGTCCGGCCAGAAGTGGGGTGGGGCCGCTCCCTCCCTGCCCGGCTTCCCCAGCCCTCACACCCCATCTCGGAGTCATCTGAGGCTGTGATGGGGCGGGGGGCGGATGGAGGCCTCGCAGTGATGGCCAACTCCGGGCAGGAGGAGTGGGGGCTGCTGGACCCGTCGCAGAAGGAGCTGTATTGGGACGCGATGCTGGAGAAGTACGGCTCCGTGGTCTCCCAGGGTGAGGACGGCGCCCCGCCCCCGCCTGCACCCTGCGCGTCCCCCCCCCCTGCCTGCACCCCGCCTCCCTGCGCGCCCCCCCAGCTGCCAGCACCCTGCGCGCCCCCACCCCCAGCTGCCTGCACCCGCCTCCCTGCGCCCGCCGCTGCCTGCACCCCACCTTCTCCCTCCTTCCTGTGGGGCGCCCAGGCCCCACCCCGCCCCTTGGTGAGCTGGGCTCTCACCCGCCCCCATCAGGGTTACCGCCTCCCCTGCCGGACCCGCGGGCCGAGTTGGAGCCGGGGTTGGAGCCGGGGTCGCCGAGCGCGGGGGCCGAGGGCCCGGGCAGCCTCCGCACGGGTGAGCGCAGCCCCGCCCATAAGACGCGGGCACCCGACCCGGGCGGGTGGCGGCTGGGGTGGCGCACACGCGGGGGCCCAGGGGGAAGGGGAACCGACGTCCCAGCGCCGGGCCACCGGGCCCGCCCGTCCTTCCCAGGAGCTGAGCGCGAGGGCCCGTCGGGGTCCGCCGCGTCGGTGCCGCCGCCCCCGGAGCCGGACGCCGCACGCAGCAAGCCCTACACCTGCGAGCAGTGCGGCCGCGGCTTCGACTGGAAGTCGGTGTTCGTCATCCACCACCGCGCGCACCAGGGCGGCCCGGGCGCCCCGAGGCCGCTGCAGGGACCCCGGGAGCCGGGCGCCCCGCGCCACCCCCGGCGCGCGCCCCCGGGCGCCCGGAGCTACACGTGCGCCGAGTGCGGGCGCGGCTTCAGCTGGAAGTCGCAGCTCGTGATCCACCGCAAGAGCCACGCCGCCCGCCAGCGCCACGTGTGCGGGGACTGCGGCCGCGGCTTCGACTGGAAATCCCAGCTGGTCATCCACCGGCGGGGCCACCGGCCCGGGGACCCCTGAGCGGGAGGCGGCGGCCCCCCCTCGGGCCTCGGGTCTCGGGGCCTGGACGCAGGCTGCTGGCTGCCGCCTGGAGGACCTGGGGCAGCCGAGGGCGCAGGAGCGGGGCGAGTCCCCGGGAAGATCCCTCCCGAAAGCCACCGGCGCCGGGAAGCCCGCTTCCCCTCCCCCGACCTGGGGCCTGGGTCGCCAGGGTGACCTCCCGGCTCCCTTCTCCCCACGTGGGACTGACGGAGGCTGACGGCGCTCCTGCCCCGGGACCTGCCAGCCCCGGTGCGATGCTCAGAAACCTCCTCCCTCCGCCCCGAGCGGCCGGTCTCCCCTGGAAGACGCAGGAGCCCGGGAGGCAGGGCCGCTGTTGCCCGGGAGGGAGCCGCACGCTCTCCGCGGCTGTGGGTTTGCAATGAACCCCGCTTTCCCCGTCGGGAGGTTCCTGGCCGCGACGCTGGCCTCTGGCTTCTGCCGGTCAGACGGTCAGCGGTCAGCGGCTCCTCCTCCCGTCTGGCAGCTGGGGCCCCAGAGCCCCGAACCCGGAAGGAGGCTCCGCGCTCCGGCCTCGCTGCCCCGGCCCCTCCCGCCTTGCTGTCCTTGGGCTCCTGGGTCCCAGCTTGAGCAGACGCCGAGGGGACTTACTGTTTGTTAAAATTGACTTTAAAGAGAAGGGGAAGGAGAGACAGACATCAAGTTGCCGTTCCACTGACGTGTGCGTTCACCGGCTGGGTGCCATGCGCTGGCGGGAGATCAAATCCAAACCTCCAACCAGCCGAGCTTCGGTCAGAGCAGGGACTTCTTTCTTTTCTCGGTGACACGCTCATTTATTGTTTATCTCATGTTATAGAACATATTAGATCTTGTTGTTTAAGCTCTAAAGTCTTTTTTTTGTCTGAAGTTTTACATTTGTCTCCTTTTTCTCCAATTGAACCCCCTCCCCCCAGCCATTCCCACCCGGGCAAGCCCCCGCCGCCCCGTGTCTGTGTCCATCGGTTCTGCTGGTGTGCCTGCACACAAGCCCTGTGGTTGCTCTCTAACCCCCTCCCCTGCCATTTGTCTCTGGGTCTATTCTTGGTCATCAGTTCATGTTGATCATTATACCCCACACATGGGTGAGATCATGTGTGTTTATCTTCCTCCGACTGGCTTATTTTGCTGAGCATCGTGCTGTCCAGGTCCAGCAGGGCCTCCTTTAAGCACGAGTAGGAAGGGGCCTCTGAGGACAAGTCCCTTCGCCCAGCACAGCTGCAGGTCGGGTCTGTGCCCCCATAGCCCATGCAGTTGGTCAGCGGAGAGCAGGGGAGCAAAGGGCCAGCGGCCTGCTGCCCATGGAGGCACAGCTGGGTTCCCCGCAGGCATCCGACATTCTCAGTGCAATTATAGTTTCAACAAGCGTGGGGGCTCCAGACAACACACGTTTGTTTCCTCGTGACTGTGAAACAGTTTCACTGAGTTAAATCCAGGTGTCATCAGGGCAGGCCACTCCTGGAGGCTCTAGGGGAAAATCCATTTTATTGCCTTTTTTTTGAAATCCTCACCAATTTTCCCATTGATTTTCAGAAAGAATGGAAGCGGGGGCGGGGGGGGGGGGACAGAAACGTCAATGTGAGAGAGAGACATCAATTAGTTGCCTCCTGCACGTGCCCCGACCAGGGCTGGGGATCTAGCCCTTGACCAGAATCGAACCTTCAACCCTTCAGTCCTCGGGCCAACGCTCTAACCACTGAGAAAACTGGCAAGGGCCGTTTTATTGCCTTTTCCAGCTTCAAGAGGCTGCCTCATCCCTCGGCCCCTTCCACCTGCAAAGCCAGCAGTGGTGGTAACGTCTCTCTTGTGCTGCCGGCCCTCCAGCTCTGACCCTGCTGCCTTCTCCTCAGAGCAGTGGTTCTCAGCCTTGGCTGCACATGAGAATCACCTGAGAATCTTTTTAAAATCCTGATTTCTGGGCCTCATCCTCCGGAAATTCTGTTTTTTTTGTTCCTAATGTTGTGGCCCCACCCCATCACAAAGAAACAGAATTTCCGGAGGATGAGGCCCAGAAATCAGGATTTTGAAAAGATTCCCAGGTGATTCTCATGTGCAGGCTGAGAACCACTGGATTAGGACATGCATGTCTTTGGAAGACGTTACCTCCTCCAGCTGCTTCCTACTTTGAAACTAAAGGGCATCTTGGTGGGGATAGTGTCCAGGAAGCAGGTGCACTCCACAAAGGAGCCCTCCCGGGGCCGGGTGTGGCTCAGTGGTTGGCCACTGACCTGTGAACCAGGCGGTCACGATTCCATGGTTCCATTCCAGGTCGGGGCACATGCCTGGGTTTCAGGCTCGATCCTCAGGGTAGGGCGTGCAGGAGGCAGCCAATCAATGATTCTCATCAGCGATGTTGCTATTTCTCCCTCTCCCTTCCTCTCTCTGAAATTTCAAAACAACAAAATAAAAGGAAGGAGCCTCTGACACATGCAGGGGCAGGGGGGGGTGTGTGTGTGTGTGTGTGTGACATGGGCGGCCCGGGGGATGGCCTGGGCAGGGCAGGACCTGGCTGCAGCCTGGAGCCAGGAGAGGGCGGGGGCCGCCTCCGCCACCCCCAGAATCCGAGGACCTTCTGACCCGGGGCTCACACTGGGCCTGCGGCAGCGTCCGGGCTGGAGATGGAGCGGTCACAGGTGGGCGAGCGGGCGAGATCCGCAGGGGACGTGACGAGGACGGTGGGTCTCGGTGTCCCTGGTGGGCCTCAGGGAATTCCCGTGGCCCTGGGTGGTCGCTAGTCCCTGGTGGGCCCCCTCGTTCCTGGTGGATTCTTGCAGCGGCTCCGACTCCACATGCCGGGAGCGAGGAGCGTGGACGTCCGCTGGCCTCTGCCCGCAACTTCCACAATGCCCCGGGGAACACGTTCAGCCTTGGGGACCCTTTGGAGGCCTCTGCGCTGGGGGCTCCTTTCTCGTGACCTCTGGTCTGCAGCGCCCACTGCGCCCCGAGGGCACGTCCGGTTGCAGACCCTGCAGACCGGACCTCAGAGGCCTCTGCGCCCGCCCTCCCCCCGGCGATCCCCCCTTTTCTTCCTGCTCAACCTTCGCGCCTCGGTCCAGCGCCTGCACGCCCGCCCGGGCCGGTCGCCCTCAGTGCGGCTCAGTTGGCTGAGTGTCTTCCCTGCACCTGAAGGTCCCTGGTTGGAGTCGGACACCTGCCCGGGTTGGGGTTAGGTGCCGGTTGGGGTGCATGCGGGAGGCAACCGATTGATCTTTCTCTCTCTCTCCGTTCCTCTCTCTCTGAAACCAATAAAAACATTATAAAGAGAAAGAGGCTTCCAAAGCGAGAAGAAACTAGCGTTTATTTGAAAATTAGGCAGGTGGGGGGGAGGGGATAACTATTCCTGAAGTACTGACTCAGGCAGACGCCCAGTAGTGTTCTGATCAGGAGACAGAGGCCAGGGACATTCACGGGAAAGGGCAGGGGCGCAGTTACATCCATAGACGGAAGGCAGTGCTATTGTTTTTCATTTTTCAGCTCTGTAGCCACCAGTCCACTGGTCCTAATGCTTTCTTGTTATTCCTGCAAACAGATCTTCAGGACACAAGGTCGATTAGGCCCCGTCTTCACAGTCAAAAGGCTTGAGACGTGAGACCTGCACGGTGGCTCCTCTGGCATTGCAGCGGCAGCTCGATGGCAAAGTGCTCCCGTTTTTTATTGCTTTTCGACAGCGGTCAGCGTTGGCCTGGCCCCTTCACGTGCCCGTCCGCCGGCCAGCGGTTCAGAGTTTCCAGGTGCCCTCGCACACGGCCCGGTACGTGTCCTGTGTCAGCGGCCGGAAGGTCTGGGCCTGGCCGTCCAGCACGAACAGCGCGTCCGCAATGGCGCCCACGTCGAAGCCCTCGCGCACCAGCCGGGACTTGACCAGTTTGAAGGTGTTGGTGATCTCCAGGGCGTCCTGCAGGGGCGGGACTGCAACTCCACCCGCGACTCCCGCGGCCACGACCTCCCGCCTCCCAGCCACGGTCCTCCCCGCCCCGAACTCACCTGGATGCGGATGAAATGGGGGACGGCGTAGGCCGGGAGCCACGTGCGGACGTGCTGGTACAGCTTCTGCCCGTCGAAGGCCCGGCCGGGGGCCAGCTGCACAGCGGCCATGCCCACCTTGCCCTCACACCCTGGAAGCGCACCCGCCAGGCACTCTCAGCTCCCCCCGCGCTCGCATCGGGACAGCGCACCTCCACCCGCACCGCTGCTGCCGGTTTAAGTGAGGGGCGCCCTCCGCACCTGGCACGGACACGCCGTAGACGTTCACCTGCTGCAGGAAGTCCACGAGTGACAACACGCCCTCCACCTCCCGCGTGGACACGTTCTCACCCTTCCATCTGCGGGGTGAGAGCAGGTGCTTGAGATCACGCCCCTGGGAACGAGGGGGCACCGCCCCTTGCCCACCAAGCCCCGCCCCCTGGAATGCGAAAGCCCCGCCTCTTTACTCGGCCTCCCTGTTGGATCTGAAAGTCCCAGTGGCCCCGCCCCCTAAGCCCCGCCCCTGGGATCTGAAAGCCCCGGGGCCCCGCCTCCAAGCTCCGCCCCAGAAGCTCCGCCTCCCTCTAGGATCAGAATGTCCCGGTGGCCCCGCCCCCGAAGCCCCGCCCAGCACCGGTAGGTGTCCCCGAGGCGGTCGTGGAAGTAGAGGAAGCCTTCGCGGTCCATGGACAACACGTCCCCGGTGTTGTAGTAAATGTCGTCCGCGCGCCGCACCTTCCGCACCAGCTTCCGTTCCGACAGCTCCCGGGGCCCGCGGTAGCCCAGGAAGGGGTTGCGGCCCAGCACCCGGGTCAGCAGCAGCCCGGGCTCCCCTGGGCGGGAGCGGGAGGCGGGCGTGAACCAGGACAGGCCTCTCGGAGCCCACGGCTCCCGCCCGAGAGTCCAACAAGGTGGACTCCACCTCCCGGACCCTCAGAGGAGAGACACCCAGGGATGGAGACGGGGAGACCCGGGGACAGGGAGACGGAAGAGGAGGGACGGACGGGGAGAGAGGGTGGCATGGGGTGCCCATTAAACATGGGAAAAGGAAAAAAACTAAAACATGAAATAAGATTAAATTAATAAAATAAAACAAATAGGAAAAGGATGCCCGGCCCGCGTGGCTCAGTGACTGAACCAGGAGGTCAGGGTTCGATTCCCGGTCGGAGCACCTGCCCGGGTTGTGGGCTCATCCCCAGTGTGGGGCCTGCAGGGGGCAGCGGGTCAGTGATTCTCATCATCGATGTTCCTCTCCCTCCCTCCCTCTCTCCCTCCCTCCCTGAAATCAATAACAATATGTTTAAAAATAGGAAAAGGATAACACGGATGGTTGAGGGATGGAGACAAACGGTGGCGGGAAGAAAGGGTGTGGCCAGGAGAGAAGACCCACCCGAGGAGAAGGTGGGGGAAGGTGGGTGCCTGGGAGGCGGAGAGAGCAGGCCCCGCGGGCACCCGGAGGCTCAGCAGAGAGAGGCTGGGGCCGGGGTGCCCGCGAGAACCGAGAAGCTGAGAGGCAGGGGGCCGGGCAGGGGCCGGACCGACGGGGACTCAGGGTCGGGTGAGCGCTGCAGACACCACCGCCCAGCACGACCCCCGGCCGCGGAGGAGACGGGTCCCTGCTTCCCAGGAGGGTCCCCAGGTACCTGGCCCCACGGGCACGCAGAGGCCTGCTCTGTCCCGCACGGGCTCCGCCGCCTCCGTGTCGAACTGCACGAGCTCGAAGGGGGACAGCGCCTGCGTGGAGGGCGGGGTGTCAGAGGCGCTGGGCGCTCAGCTCCCACCAGGGTCCTGGCCACCCCGACCCACTCACCCGGAGGATGCAGCTCGTCTTGCCCACTGCCCCGCGGCGCCCGGGGTAGTTGACGAAGCCGGCGTTGCCTTCCGTGGAGCCGTAGACCTCAAAGATCCGAATGGGGCCGAAGCGTCGCTGGAAGGCCTCCCACACGTCCGCGCGGAGCCCGTTGCCCATCGCCAGGCGGACGGTATGCGTCCGGTCCTCGGGTCGCTGCAGAGATGCCCAAGGAGGGTCAGGAGGAGGTGCCCTCGGTCGGTGGGAGGTGCCCTGGGCCCTTCCCTGAGAGGCTATCTCTGGGTGGGAGGTATATACCCAGGGGGCTCCAGGGGGGCTCACTTGGGATCCGATATCTGGCATCTGTACTTGGAGGGTTACCTGCAGATACTACCTGGAGGCCTCACCTGGGGTTTCATGTGGGGATAGACACCTGGGGCTTGTAGCTGGCGGCGTTAGTTAGGGGCCTTTACCTGGAAGTAACCTGGGGGTGATTTGAAGCCTCATCTTGGGGGGTTACTAGGGGCCTTCCTCCGGGGCAGTTACCTGGAGACTTGCCTCCAGGCTTTATCTAGGGGGGACCGGGGGACCTTGCCTGGAGACAGTTACCGGGGTAACTCATTGTACGGATGAGGCTGCGCCCCTCTAATGGGTTTTCCCTGAGCCCCATCGTGTTCTAGCCACTTTGCACGTTTAGTTCTCACAATATCCCCTCGGACGTTACCCCTGATTTCCAAATGAGGACCCTGAAGCTGAAAGAGGTGAGTCACCTGCTCAAGGCAGCTCAGGGGATCATCCAAGAAGCCAGGATATTGGGTGATCATTGTACGTGGCTCTGGTCTGGGATGTGTTACCTGAGCGACTGGCTTGAGTCCTGCACCTGAATGTACCTGAGACCTTTACCTGGTGTGACAGCTGCAATTTACATTATATCTTTATTCATTTCAGAGAAGAAGGGAGAGGGAGCGAGAGAGAAACAGAAACATCACTGATGAGAGAGAATCATTGATCAGCTGCCTTCTGCAAGTGGGCATGTGCCCTGACTGGGAATCGAACGGTGACCTCCTGGTTCATAGGTCAAGTCTCAACCACTGAACCATGTCAGCCGGGCAATTATTTTTGTTTGATTTGTTTTTGGTTAATCCTTACCTGAGGAAGAGATTTTTTCCATTGCCTTTCAGAGAGAATGGAAGGGAGAGAAGGGGAGAGAGAAAGAGAGAGGAGAGAGAGAAATGTTGATGTGAGAGAGACACACTGATTGGTTGCCTCCCGCACGTGCCAGGACCTGCCTGGGATTGAACCTGCAACCCCACATACGTGCCTTTGACTGGGAATCGAACCACAACCCTTCAGTGCACGGGCCAACGCTCTAACCACCGGTCAAAGCCGCCCAGGGTGGCAGCTGCGGTTTTACACCGACGGTGTTCACCTGGAGCCCTCGCCTGGCGCCTCACCTGGGGAGCGTTGCACAGGTACCGCAGTACCTCGCCCACATACTGGATCACGGTCACTCCCTGCCGCCGACAGTCCTCCCAGAAGCAGGAGGCGGAGAACTTGGGGGCCAGGACACAGGTGGCTCCTGGGAGGCAGGAGAGGAACGGGTTCAGGCCCTGCTTCCAGCCTCCGTGAGAAGCTGCCTTGATCAGTGGCCCCTGAAGCACAGGGTGATCCCGGCTCCTCTCTGGTCCCTGGTCCAGCCAGGCATAGGAGGGCTGGGCCTGGGTTCAGATCCTGCCTCCAGAATGTGTGGGAAGCTTGGTGCCCGACACAGTGCGCACGGCTCAGTAAGGGCTGTGAGCATCAGTCGTTCTTGATTATGATACATATTTTATGAATGTTTCGCCGAGCAGATGGATAGGTGGGTAGATAGGTAGATGGAAAAGTGAGTGGGTGGTGTTTGGAAGGGAGCTCACATGGGTTAATTATCCCTGAACCCAAAGGGACGATTGCTTGTGAGCTTGGTTAGTAGCAGTGGTGTCTTCTTTGATGCTGTGTTTTTGACAGGGAGGTAACATATAGAAGGGGTGCTGGGTCCTTGGAAAGGACACCCCCCAGGTTCCTGCCAAGAATTATTTATTTTTAACCCTCACCCGAGGATATTTTTTCCATTGGTTTGGAGAGAGTAGAAGAGAGAGGGACAGACAGACAGAAACAGTGACAATGTAGGGCCCCAGCCTGGGGAGGAGCCTACAACTGAGGTACCTGCCCTTGACCAGAATTGAACCCCGGGACCCTTTGGTCCCCAGGTCAATACTCTATGCGCTGAGCCAAACCGGCTAGGCCTTGCCAGGAATAATTTAACTGAAGGCCCTGGCTGGGTAGCTGACTTGGTTAGAGTGTCGTCCCAGTGGGCCAAGGTTGGGGGTTTGATCCTCAGTCAGAACACACAAGAATCAAACAGTGAATGCATGAATAAGTGGAACAACAATCTCTCTCTCTCTCTCTCTCCCTCCTTCCCTCCCTCCCTCTCTTTCTCAAAACAAAGAACAAAAGAATAGTTGAACTGAATGTACCAACAGCTCTAGAGGGAATTTCCAGTCTAACTGGTCACAGAGGAGCAGAGACCAATGAGGAGACTAGCGATAAAAAGACAATTTGGTAATTGGGGAAATGTGAACAGGAAGCGCACATCAGATGATAATGGAGTTGCTGTTCACGTAAGTCCTTGTATGTTAGAGATTCCTACTGCAGTAGTTTTGTTCTAAAATAATAGATTTGTTCTAAAATAATCCGGAAGGAGAGAAGTGCATATGAAATAAAACTGGCAACATGGTCATTGTGGAGGCTGGGTGAGGACACTGGGGACTTCATCAAACGCTTTGCTCTGCTCTTGTGTATGTTTGAAATTGCGCATGATCTAAAAAAAAACCCCAGCAACCTTTTAAGCCCTAACTGAATAGCTCAGGTGGTTAGAGCGTCATCCTGATAGCTCAAGGTTGACGGCTGGATTCCCAGTCAGGGCACATACAGAAGCAACCAATGAATGCATAAGTAGGTGGAACAGGCCAGAGCTCCAGTGGCGCAATCGGTTAGCGTGCAGTACTTATAAGTAAGTGGAACAAGAAATCAATGCTTTGCCGTGGCTGGTTTGGCTCAGTGGATAGAGCATCAGTCTGCGACCTGAAGGGCCCCAGGTTCGATTTCCGTCAAGGGCATGTACCTGGGTTGCGGGCACATCCCCAGTGGAGGGTGTGCAGGAGGCAGCTGATCGATGTTTCTCTCTCATCGATATTTCTAACTCTCTATCCCTCCCCCTTCCTCTCTGTAAAAAATCAATAAAATATATATATTTTAAAAAACCCCACAAAAACAATGACCATGGAAAGGCCCCAGGTGACTTCCTAGTCAGGTGTCCAGGGAGGCGGCCAGAGCAGTGTTTGCTGAGCACGTCCTCACTGACACGTGACCTCACACAGCTGCTGTCACCTCCTGACCACAACACAGCCCTGGGGAGCCACCTGGGTGCCCGCCCCTCTGCCCGGGGGTCCTGGGGCTCCCTGCTGTATGCTCCTTGTCCCAGGTGAGCACCCAGGGTGCTGGGTGACCTGTGAGGCCTTGTCACCCTGACAACCCAGCCTGCACCCCCGGGGACAGGAGGCGTCCCCAGGGAAGGGCTTACCGAGCTCCAGGCAGCCGAGTACCCCGAGGACCAGGCCCATCGCGTGGTACAGGGGCAGGACAGAGTAGACCACATCGTCAGCTGTGACCCCGCTCAGGGCCAGCATCCTGCTCATCTGCAGCACCCGCTCGTGCGTGAGGATGGCCGGCTTCGGGAGCCCTGGGGGATGGAGAGTGGGAGGGTGGGGGGCGTGTAGGGCTGGGTCTCCAAGGGGGGGGGGCGGTTTTAAGGAGGTCAGGTTGGGTTTGGGGTTCAGAGGTCGAATCCCAGAGCTCCATTAGGGCCTCAGCGGCTGCCCGCTAGGAAAAGGCAAGATTCTGGCCCTGATCCCTCCAATGACATTTCGGGGCAGAGTCCAGGCCACATGTCCCCATGGAAGCGCAGCCTGTGTTTTGGAGGCCGGGCTTGGGTCAGGTCAGGGTGAAAGGTCAGAGGTTGGGGCAGGGCTGCCGGGTGCCCTCACCGGTGGTCCCCGAGGTGTAGATGAACAGGGCAGGGCTCTTCCGTGTGATGCCCGCGCGCAGGTCAGCGGGCACGGGGCCCGGGGGCGCGGCGTCCAGGGCGGGCTCCAGCGCCTCCACCCCCGGCGTCGGGGAGGTGAGGCCGAGGTAGAAGCAGCGCACGTGCTCCGCCTGCAGCTGCGGGAGGATCTCCTCCAGGTTCTCGCGGAGGTCTGCAGGGACGCACCGGAGGGGAAACTGAGGCAAGGCCCCCCCTTCCAGGTGGCGAGGGGAAACCCAAGCCGCAGAGGGTGCAGCCGGCAGAGGACGCTTCTGCACTTTTGTAAAGAACCCCATGGCCCGGCCGGTGTGGCTCAGTGGATAGAGCACCGGCCTGCGGACCAAAGGGTCCGGGTTCAATTGCCATCAAGAGCAGGTACCCTGGTTGCGGGCTCCTCCCCTGCCCGGACCCTGGTCAAGGCACGTGCAGGAGGCAACCAATCTCCTCCACTCTCCCTAAAAGTCAATGGGAAAAATATCCTCCGGTGAGGATTAAAAAAAAAAGGTTAGTATTGGCAAAAAGGATTGAAATAGCCATGGCGCAGAAGAAGGATCCCAGCCTGCATGGCTCGGTGGTTGCGCGTTGACCTGACCCATGAACCAGGAAGTCACGGATAGATTCCCGGTCAAGGGCACCTGCCCGGGTTGTGGGCTCGACCCCCAGTTTGGGGCGTGCAGGAGGCGCCGATGCATGATTCTCTCTCATGGATGTTTCTCTCTCCCTCTCCCTTCCTCTCAGAAATCAATAAAAATATTTTTTTAAAAAAGGAAAAAGCAGCCCTCGCCGGTGTGGCTCAGTGGATAGCGCATTGGCCTGCGGACTGAAGGGTCCCGGGTTCGATTCCGGTCAAGGGCATGTACCTTGGTTGTGGGCACATCCCCAGTAGCAGGTGTTCAGGAGGCAGCTGATCATGTTTCTCTCTCTCCGATGTTTCTAACTCTCTATCCCTCTCCCTTCTTCTCTGTAAAAAATCAATAAAATATATATTTTTTTAAAAAGGAAAAAACAAAAAAACACAAAAACAAGCCTCCCGGCGCCCTCAGCATTCCTTCCCAGCCTGTGGGGCGAGCGGGCTCAAGGGGCTCCCGTGCGGCCCCTTCCTGGCCCCTGTGCCCTCCCGCCCCCCACCCCCTCAGCCTCGGGGTCCTCACCAGGGTCCACCAGCAGCACCCGCGCCCCGGAGCTCAGCACCGAGTGCGCCAGGGGCGCCCCGCGGACGTGCGGGTTGATCCAGGCCACCGGGCAGCCCAGCTTGGCCAGCCCCAGCCACAGGCCCAGCGCGGGGACGGCCTGCGCCGCCGGCATCAGCAGGGCGGCGGGCTCCCGGGGCCCCGCGCCCTCGGGGTCGACCAGCTCCGCCTTCAGGGCCCACGCCGCGCGGCAGGCCCGGGCGTCCAGCTCCGCGTAGGTGACCGCGCGGGCCCCGGGGCCAGTCCACACCAGGGGCGCGTGGCCCGGCTGCGCCCGCGCGCGCCGCTCGAAGGCGTCCACGAAGGTGTCGGGGGGCGCGCGGCGGAAGCGCGCGCGGATGGCCAGGCCCGCGCGAAGGATGCCAGCCACGAAGGCCAGGTCCGCGGGCAGCCAGCGCAGCGCGGGGGGCGGCCGGGGCGGCAGCAGGGCCAGTGCTAGGGCCGCGGCCGCCAGGCTCAGCCATGGCGGCATCCAGGGCCGGAGCCAGGGCCGCGCCAGCGCCGCCAGGCCGACCAGCGCGCAGCAGGCCGGGTCGCCCAGGAGCCAGCGCAGCGCGGGGGCCGCGGCCATGGGCCAGGCGGGCAGCTCCGCGCCCCGCAGGAGCAGCAGCAGCGGCGGCAGCAGCAGCAGCGACCGGCGTCCCGCGCCCATGGCACCCGCTGTCTGTCCTCCGAGCGGAGCGCGGGCCGCGGGGAGACCTCTGGCCCCTGGCGGGGGTTCAGGTGGCATCGGGGCGGAGCGACCCGCCGCGGGACTCCGCCCCCAGAACTTGTTTTTATTTTTCAAAGATAGTTAACATTCAACAGCAGATTCGCTTGGGGTGTGGCCAAACACTTCGTTGTTTTTTAAAAACACTTTTATTGATTTCAGAGAGAGGACGGGAGAGGGATAGAAACATCAAGGATGAAAATCATTGATCGGCTGCCCCCTGCGCGCTCCCAACTGGGGTTGGAGCCCGCAACCCCTGAACGTGCCCTTGACCCGGACGCTTCTGTCCACGGGCCAAGGCGCTATCCACTGAGCCAAGTGGGCTGGGCGGTTGGACACCCTCATGCCTTCCGAGGCGATCACTCCTCTATCTAGTCCGCCCCTGGCCCGGTCCAGGTGCTGAGCATCGATTAATCCCTTCGCTGTGCTGGACATCTTCCTATTTTGTAACTGACATTGTTCCTTCTTCACCTTCACCCTGTCCACCGGCCCCCACCTGTCCCGGCCCCCCTCACCCCACCTATTTGTTTAGCTCTGCAGGGTCCTTCTGCCTCGATGGACACCCGCTGGCCAGGGCCACGAGCAGGACAGCAGGGCCCGTGGGCTGCCCACACAGCCTGACGCCCTTCACACCTCACCTGCGACCCCCCCTTCACCTGTGGGGCGGTGGGGTTTGGCTGGACCCGGGCGCTAGCCAGGTATACAGTAGGTGCTCAGTAAACAATGGAAGGAATACCTGAAGTACCTGCCCCCTGCTCATGAGGGGGGCGGATTCTGCCGCACCCTTGGCAGGCAGTCATGGGGGAGTTCGGAAAGGCGCTGCCACTGGCCCGGAAGCCAGCAGATCACCCACTCCCGGCTGCACCATCCCCAAATCCCTAGGCCCCCCCCCCCCCCCCCCCACACTGGAGGCAAGAGAGGAGCAGCCTCCCTCTGGGGTGCCCGCCAAGCTGACGCAGGGCTTGGTGACAAAGCGGCACCACCCAGCAGGCAACCCCAGGGTCCCGGCTGCAGCTCCGACACCTGCCCGCCCAGCACTGCAGACCTGGCCTCCAGGGCAGGTGTGCTAGGGCTCAGGTCCCCTCATGGCAGGCCAGCCCCCAGAGAACTCCTGGGCCCCCAGAATAAGGTGCCCCCATGATGCCCATCAGAACAGGGAGGGGAACAGGCTTCGAGACGAAACGTTCCTCCCAGGCAGCAGTAAGGGCCGCGGGGGTGGGTCCCGCACGTGGCCTCCCTCTCTGAAGACACACCTCATAGGCCCCTATGACATAGGGGCTGGCCTGTCCCCTGCCCACAGGACCGCGGGCCAGGAGTCAGGCTTGGCCATATGCATGCCCCCTCCCGCCCAGAGGACAGCCCCGGACGACCAAGTGGACAGTTCTGTCTTTCCCCAGTGAGAGCGAGAAACCCCAGTCCGGGAGCTCACAGCTCCTGGGTTTGGCCCGGCGGCAGTCCTATATTGGTCCACAATGGGTCCATCCCGGTGCCCTTAGGTGCCAGGTGAGGGCGGCTGGGGGAGTGCACCCCGGATCTCGCCGTCTGAAGCTGAAGTAGGGAAGCAGCTCTGAACCCCACCCCACTTGGGCGAGTTGGAGCACGAATCCTGGGCCCCACCCCAAGCCTGACGATCCAGTTCTGAGGCAGTCGGATCCCCCACCAGCCACCACTTGGAAGGATCCGAGTGTGGGAGGAGTCAGGCGCGCTGGGCCCCTGGTCAGTGGGGATGAGGGTGGAGCAGGGGTAGGGCCTGTGCTCAGGGGACACTGTGGCCGGCTGTGGTCAAGGTACCTGCTGGTCTGACCGGCCCGGCAGGAAGGTTAGGAGCCCGGCAGTGGGCGTGGTCAACCCCGCACGGCGTGGCCGGGGTCAGGGCGCGGGGTGCGCCGCCAGGTGGCGCTCCAGCAGCGCGCGGTGCGAGAAGACCTTGCCGCAGGCCGGGCAGGGCGCGCGCTCCGGCCGGTGGGTGCGCATGTGCACGTTGAGGGAGCTCTTCTGCGTGAAGCGCTTGGCGCAGACGGCGCACTGGAAGGCGCGCACGCCCGTGTGCGTGACCATGTGCTTGAGCAGGTAGTCGCGCAGCGAGAAGGAGCGCCAGCACACGGCGCACTGGTGCGGCTTCTCCCCTGCGGGCGACAAGTGGGGCGCGCGGGTGTCAGCCGGAAGGAGACCCCCCCGCCCGGCGCCTCTGCCAGGCAGGGACCCCCCCCCTTCCCTTTCCGCTGGAACCCCTGCTGCCCACACCCCTGCCCGCCGACCACCGTGATGTCCCGGGGGGGACAGAGCAGGGTGACCCCCTCACGAGGCTGAGACCAGGAGGCGAGCTGTTGGCCCTTGGAGTCCTCGGCACAAACAAAAAGCCCTTCTCAGCGGCAGTGCCTGGGAGGGGTTCTCCCAAACCAACCGGCCTGGCACCCGGCTCAGGCCCCGCGAAGCTGGCAAATCTTGGCTGGTACTACCGTGGCCCTGCCCTCTCCTTCCTCCCCAAGGCAGCCAGGGGGCGATTTCAAATGTAAACCGCATCTCAGTTCTCACTCCGCTCCCAGAACACGGGTGCCTTCCCACCTTTCACAGCGAAACCCACCCAGCCCCTGGCCCAGATCTCCCCTCGCCACTCCCACCTGCCGTCCGGACCCATTCCGGCTTTTCACACCAGCTCCGCCCGTGGCACTGCACACACCTGTCCTCCCAGGGGCTCCTGCACCTGCGACCGCCCAGGTCTTGCCGGCCATCACCTGGGCCTCCCTCCACAACCCCCGGCTGCCTCGCTTCAGAGCCGCCTCCCTGACCAGCTGAGGTCCCCGAGTGCCTCCCTGCAGCCGTGGGGAGCCCAGTTTCTCCGCCAGCCCGGGTCAGACCCCCTCTCTGCCTGCTCCCCACGCTGCCCCACGGCCAGCGAACCCAGAGCCCACTGCTCTGCATCCAGCCCCAGGCACTGGGCCCAGGAGGTGCCAGCACTGCTCTCCCCCACCCCCCGGCAATGACCCCCCAACCCTCTCCCCACCTGGCCATGCCCCCGACCCCCCACCATCCCCAGCTCCATCCTGGCTCCACCGCCAGGTTCCCAAGGCTCCGGGGCAGGCTCCTGCTCCACAACCCGGCTCAGGACACACCCCGCCCGATGAAGCGGGGCTAGGAAACCGGCAGGAGCGCCTGCTGCCCACACGGAGCGCCTGGGGGCTCCATTTCCAGGCCGCGCCGGAGTTGCCACCCCCGCCCGGTGCCCAAACCCACCCGCCCCGAGACATCCCCTCTCACCCGAGTGGATAAACATGTGCTTGGTGTAGTTCTTCCGCGAGCTGAAGGTCTTGCGGCAGTGGCTGCACTCGTAGGCGGGCGGCTCGGAGCCCGCGGGGCGCGCGGCGGCGGGGGCGGGGGCGGCGGGCGGGGCCAGGGCCTCCCCCAGAGTCACGCTGGGGGCCGCCTCGGGCTGGAGCGCCGGGTAGAAGGCGGTCGGGGGCGCAGGGGCCGGCTCGGAGGATGCTGGCGGGGGCTGCGCGGGGGGCCCGGGGGCGCCCAGGTGAAAGGGGAAAAGGACCACGGGGGGCGCCGGGGTCTTCACGGCGGGCTGGCGGGGCCCGGACAGGACGCAGTCCGGCGGGGCGGGGGCTTCGGGGGGACAGCCTTCCGCCGCGGGGGCGTCCTCCTCTGGCCACGCGGACACGTAGCTGTCCGGGAACACGTCCTCGGCCCCCGGGGGCGCGCGGAGGAAGTCCCTCCCGGCGCCGTAGTCGGAGAGGCCGGCGGGCGCAGGCGGCTCCTCGCGCGCGCTGTCCGCGGGGAGGAAGCCGGTGGCGCAGTCGGGGAAGGGAGGGAGCGCCTGGCCCTCGCCCGGGCCCCCGCCTTCGCCGTCCTCGCCGTCCGTCTCGTCCTCCGTGTCCTCCTCCTCCTCCTCGTCCCCGCCCTCCTCTGGGGCGGCAGGCAGGGCGGGGTCAGCGACCGACCCCTCGGCTTTGGCGGGCGCGGGGGGCGCGGGCAGCTGCAGGCGCGCGGGCTGGCGCTGCTTGCGGGTGTGAGCCGCCCCGGGGAGGCCCAGGGGGCGCGCGGCCAGTAGGTGGCGCAGGCGGTGGCGCAGCTGCGCGGGCGCGAGCGGCGGGGGCACGGGCGTGGGCAGGGGCAGGGGCGCGGGGGCGCCCGCGGCGGGGGCGGGGGCGCGGGCCCGGGCGATGATCTGCGTGCACTCGTCGATGACCGTCTGGATGCGCAGCACGGACGCGGCCGTGAGCACCTGCAGCGCCTCGCCCTGTGCCACGACCAGCGAGCCGCTGTAGAGGAACTCGACGAGCTGGCGCACCGTCTGCGCGGGCACCACGGGCGGCACGCGGATCTCCGAGTGGCCGAGCAGCAGCTTGTCCTGGAAGAAGGGCGAGCCGGCGGCCAGCACGCAGCGGTGCGCGCGCAGCGAGGCCTCGCGGATGCGCACGGTCACGTCGCAGAAGTGCCCGCCCAGCCGCTGGCCGTTGAGGGTCTCGAGCAGCGAGCGGGAGAAATTCTGCAGGTGGATGTGATGCACCGCCTCGGCCGCCGCCATCTGCACCGGATGAGGGGGGAGCGGGAGGTCAGACAGGGACCCCCTCTGCCCTGGTGTCCCCGCTCCACCAGCCCTGGTCGCGGGACAGGGCGAACCGCAGCGCCCCTCCCCCCCAAAAAAAAGATCCTTGCAGGGCTCCACCCAGCGCCCACTCTCTCTCTCTCCAGGACTCCTGCCTGTCTTGCCATCTCCACAGCTCCCTGCAGACCCAGGGAGAGGGGTGGGAATATCAAGGGTCTACTCTACACCCAGGGCCCTGGCTCAGTGGATGGAGCATAGGTCTGCAGACTGAAGGGTCCCGGGTTCGATCCCGGTCAAGGGAACATGCCAGGGGTGCAGGCTCCATCCCCACCCAGTAGGCGGCGTGCAGGAGGCAGCCGATCAATGATTCTCTCTCATCATTAATGCTCCCATCTCTCTCCCTCTCCCTTCTCTGAAATAAAATACATATATATATTAAAAAATGAATATTTTTGTAAAGGTGTACACCCCGCCT